CACAACCAGGAAATCAGCTTTTCCCGAGGAAAATTGAATGTCTAAAAACAACACTTCCTGACCAATAAGTTGCTCTTCTATTCAACCCTAATCCACCCCAGGCTTTTTTCTTAGCCCCCTACTGAGTCTACGAGACTCTCCACAGCTGACAAAAAGTCTCACACCAATAATCCCATGCCATGCATCAACCAGAGGAAGGAATCTTTCTGAGATCACTGTCTCACATCATCCCATCCAAGTGGCAGTGGCCTAGCTAGGATTTTACTAGTGGGGAGCACAAAGGGACACCAGCATCTTATGGGGGGGGCCAGCTTTCAGTGGTGTGGCTTTTGGGGGCAAGTTTTTGTTAGCCTTGTTCACTATCCATTCATCCGGTTTTTTTCAGTAGGGAGCACCTGGGAAGGGGGTGGCACCTGTAATTTGGGGGGGGGCACATGCCTCCTCCCCCGGCCCCCCTTGGCTACGCTGAGTGGAACATTCACAGTAATGGATGCCCCTTGATTTCAGATGGTCAGGGTTAACCAAACTCTCATAATAAAAGCCAACCCCCCCCCAAAAAAAACCCTTCTCCCACAACTCCCCTAAAAATTGGAAAAAGGACTCCATGGAACATCACACAACCAAACTTTATTATTTGTGTTAGGACACATATTGCCAGTTACATGTACAATTACTGCTGCTTTCACATGGTCTGTACACACATGTATATATGTACAGCGAAACACTACATGTTTTTAAATAAAAAGTTCATTTGTCCTTCATTCTATTCCATCCACTGGGAGAGTGCTGTCATGAAGTAGGCACTACATAGCCATGTTAAATACTTGATATATTCTGACAATTACTGAATATGAATCAAACAATATTTTCAATCCCCACTGACAGTGCAGATTGTCATACCTCTGTCTTGGATGCTGTCTGTTCATTGGCCCAGAACGATCACATGTGAACGATCACGACATGACTCGCCGTGAGACATCTCATTCTGCCAAGAGCACGTGCATGTCCACATGCATGAGACAGAGGAGCTTCGAGAAGTTCAAGAGCAGCCCTTGTTGCTCATTTAGTCAGTTTTGCATGGTAACCATGATACATTTTGTGAATAAGTTACCAGGGAATTTTATCAATGGTCTCACTCATACATAACAGACTTGTTCCTATGCCCACTGCAGATAAAGTAAAGCAGGAACCTCTAACCAGACTACATGATTGTACTCACTGGTACCCGCACTACTTTCACATTAAAGTGTACACAATTTAAGAAAGTGGGAGAACAGTGCATTCACTGGCGATATCATTTATGTCTGTTATGTTAATTACACAGTTTGACAGTAGGCCTATCATCTTCAGAACTTCTGAAATTCAGAACTCGTTTCTTTGGATAAATTCCTCAGCCTCATCAATGTCAATGTCATATCCCACATCACTTAGTCAATAATTGTTAAATGTCAACCCTACCCAACTGTCACCACTTGTTTTTACTTGGATTAATTTCCTCCTGACATGAGGAACAAAGTGACAAAGTACACCAACAGCAAATCCCTCACTTGACAAAGCCATTTTCAGCAAATGTGCTGGAAAAACTTTCAAATCCATGATGATGTTTTCTTCAAAACCAAACAGGAAGGAAATTTTTCGTTGCATTCAAAATGCTCTAAAAAGTTTCCAAAATGAGACAAAACAAATAAATCAAGGAAAATAAAGGTAAAAAGAACAGACACAACAAAACTGCAAAGTCATAGTTTTGCATGATCTTTTCTTTAATAGTCTAGTCATTAGCTGCATTAAGATATATGTACCCTGGGAAGATTTCCTACATGGAAATTTAAACAGGAAGCAAAAAGATCGGCTGTTTGATCATTTCTGCAGCCCCATATAGGAATTATTATTTATTATTAGTCTCCCCATCTGTCTGAGTGATGAAGGATGTGGATAAAACTAAAAAAAGAAAATTATCAATGTACATATAGGCAAACTGTTGCACGAATTTCAATTTAAGAAAGAACTTTGGCACTATTCATTGTCCTTGTTGATATAACATATTATTAACCATACACAATTGTTAAAATGTACGAATGTATAGATATATCCAACACAAAAGCTTTAAAATGAACACATACATGTGTCTTTAAAAAAGAAAGGAAATGTAGATCCAAAACTTGGCAAAGTTTTTCATAAATTCCCCCCCCCCCCTTGAGGTTGGGGAACTGGAAGTCTCCAAAATCAGCAACTCAGAAATATCAGGATGTCAAAAATTGGTGATCTTCCTGAAAGGCCCCAAATATCTGGCCTAGGGCAAGCTGGCGATCAAGCTGGCAATCAAGCTGGCACTTGTTCAACATTTTTGAGCTGGGTAAATTGGGTCTGTCAGCCTTTTAATACAGCAATTATAAGTCTCCTGGAACAACTGCACGAGAAATCTATTTAGGATACACCACCCACCAGACTGCACCCATATATGTACATCATACACATCAACTGTATTCAACAGTTTGAATATAACATTCCAAAATATCACAATCACTAACACTTGCAAGATACCACCTACTATAGTAAATGTAGTCTCAGAGCTCATTCCTACTTTTCCAATCCAAATCTTCACAAACATCCAATCCAGGTTAAGCTGGCATGCTGTTGATAGATTCAGGACTGTAAATGCAGCAACTATTACTGAACATATATGGACAGCTACTGTCATGGAACCGTCAAGTGGAAAAATTTGCTCAGCACAGATAAAATTCTTTTTTAGCAGTCAAAGAGATTACCAGCCAAAATTTGATACTGTGTAAATTTCTTGTGGCTAGTTTCCGGCAGATTTTTGTTCAAGCAGTGTTTTCTGCTTATACTAGCTCATTGAAATTTGGCTGTACTTTTGGTACAAGAGAGTAGAACTGGTTCATTGCGTCGTGGGGGGTTTTTGGTAGTTCAAAATGCTTCCTGGTTATAAAAATGCAAAAAAGGAAAAATCTCAATAGGTAAATAACTCAGTCATGACGCACTGTACGCACGCATGTGCATTGTCATGCAACATTATGTGTGCAATTAGAAAATTAAGGTACGTGTATGCACTACAAAAACTTCCTCCCAAGACAAAGCATCATATCAAAGATCTTTGAGTCAACTTTACTCCACATGAAGTCCCCTCAAAAAATCAGCATTTCTGATGATTTAAAATACCTGCTTCATCATCAAGCACTTCACGAGTAAGTAGATTTAGTCTTTAGTTCCTGACAAGCTGTCACAAGAACAGTAAGTGGATATTCATTAGAGAATAATAAAGAAAATGTTTGGTTTGACATAGTAAAAGTAAAACCTCAAGATTTTTTAATAGAAACAGAATGGGGATAATATAGTTTCTGAGGCTATGAACAGATAAAACACACATTGGCCATATTAGGGCATGATTTGAACTGTAGTCACAAAAGTTGACAGTAACCAAATGTACTTATTCACAAGAATTCAACCATTTGAGAGCCCTTTCTCAAAACCGTCAAATCTTTTACCATCATGACAGAATCCAGATTTTCAATTCTGCTATCATTCTGACAGCCTTTCATCTGAGCTTCAGAGCTTTTGCAGATCATCTCAGAAATCAGAATCCTCCTCGTCCGAGACTGAGGTCTCAACCCTCTCCCGTTGGCTGTTGGGGAGATTTGCATATTCTCCTCCGCCGGCGTATTCTTTCCCATTCTCCTGTAACTTATACATTGTTACAGGTGGGACATTTTTCGCTGCTTCTGCATCCTCCCCATCAGAGACACTAATGATGCTTTCCACCCTTTCCCGACGACTGTTGGGGAGATTGGCGTATTCTTGGCTGGGCTGTCCTCCGACAGTGTTCTCCACTCCGTGTGTGATTCCTGCTGCATCATATTCTGTAGCACCTGTGTCCATGAGTGCAGGCATGCCTCCTCCATGCTTAGTCTCATCCCTGATTCCTGATTGAGGTTCCAGTTCAAGATCCATGGGGCCTGGAAGATTATCTGGGGCAACATCTCCATGGAATGGGCTGGAGATGGCCGGACCAGTGTCTTCAACTCCCATCTTCCCTGAACGATCCCAGCAGCAGGCAAGGATACAAGCCACACCGATGATGAGTGTGAGAAGAATGAGTCCACAGATGCCAATGATGATGTATACGGCCGTGGTCAGGCTTTCAGTTGGAGGAATTGTTGTCGAGGGCTCTGTCTCAGAAGGAGAGGTTGCCGTCTCTGAAGTCAACAGTCCCATGGAGTTCTCAGAGGGTGCCTGTGTGGTCTTGATGGTGGATTCCTGAGATGTTGTTAGTTCAGGGGTTGTGGGTTCGAAGGTTGTGGGTTCGAAGGTTGTGGGTTCGAAGGTTGTGGGTTCGAAGGTTGTTGGCAGCAGGGATTCTTGCGTTGAGTTTCCAATGTCAGTTGTGTTGATTTGAGAATGACCGGTAGAAAAGAGGAGCACAAGCAACAGACAGCACCACCGCCAAGAAGCCATTTTTGTCATCAGGGTTTCAGAGTAGAGAATTATTACCAACTTTTTCAAAAGCTGAGATAATGAAGGAACAGATCTCGAAGAAAAATGTGTACAATTTTCTTTTTCTAACGTTTGAGACGGTAACACTCTTTATGCTTCCACTAAAGACAAGCAAAGATGTACTCCGACATCACAAAGTCCCAAGAATGTTAAACTGAGCATCTGAAAGAGTAAGTTTACATTTTCAAACTAGACTGGCATCTGGCTAGACAAAAATTCCAACTTACTTCCTCATGCTGAAGCAAACCAGAACATGGGTGCCACTAAAGATCTACTTTTGAAGCGTAACGCTTGTTGAAACTTTACAAAAGGTTAAGCCCAGCATTTCAACAATCACTGTGTAGTATGTACGTGCAGCGAGATTTAACATTCTGATATACATGCCTCTCTAGAATTTTAGAATTTCATCCTCTTTGTATTTTTCTCTCCAATAGCGAACAGGGTACGCAGCACTAGTCTTCCTGGGAATGCTTAGGACTGGGGTTATTGGGGTCAAATTCTGGTTGGCACGTTGGAGAGCAACAGGTAGCTATGGGCACTCTTGCGTGTCCTATCAATTTCTCCACAAAATTATTCAATTCCACCCGGATAACAACTAGTGAGGCCATTCCTCCTAAATGACAATGTCAAAGTACCAACAATTTTTTCTTTTTTTTTTTAAAAAGTAGAGTTTAACAAGGAAAAAAATGAAAAAAAGGGAAACAAAAGCTATTGGACACAGGAATTTATACAATGTTTTTCAATTCTCAGTTGCATGTACACGTCAGGAAACCTTGCATGCATCTCTAACAGCAGAGTACATGTACATAAAATTAACTTGTCCTGATCATTTGGTTTTTGTTATTTGCTCTTCAATTAACTGGTCAACAGGGTAACCTTTCTGAGGAAAAACACAGTGAATAACCAAGATCCTGCTAAGCCCTACAGTTCTGGCCACGAAACCTTCTTGTGAGTGGGGGAGGGGCTACAGGTGACATCTTGAATACACACCACACTCTTAACTTTAAAAAAGCTGAGAAATTCAAGCTGGTGGCAACTGAAGACTGGACACAGCCCAAACAATTTGTCTGCCTCTTAACAATGTACTTGTACATGTACATTGCAATCACCAATATACACATAGGTTAGAACTCACTGCATGTAATATGTGCTGGTGTTTCCTCGGCAAGACAATTTACCACAGTTCCTTCTTCCTGTCCAGAAGTATCAATGGGTATCGCCCCGTCAGCAAGGGAAGATAACTTACTGCACTGATCTTGAGCAGCTGCAGAACACTTATCTTACAGCCCAATGAACAGGGGTAATAGTAACTGTAAGATTTTGAATCCTTCGGTAACACTTATTAAGGCAGATGACTACTGTGCTTCTTGCTATTATGACTGAAATGCTGTAATTTTGTTACAACTGAACATACGGCTCTATCTGTGGACTGAGCAAGCCATGCTGACAAGTTGGCAGTCTCCAAAGTTCACACACTCAGTCTGCAGGAGTGGTATTTTGGAATGGTTACAGCTTCAAACTCCATTAAATATTTTAAACAAAATGTTAGATTAAAGATTTGACTTTACGATAAAAGCCCTCAATAAACCGGCCTTACGCTAACTTTTTTCTCCTGGCTGGCCCACTGGGCTAGTTAACTAGATATTTTACAAGCCCACCATGAGTTTTGCAAGCCCATATATAAAAAAAAGAAAACGCTCTCTTTGCTCCATCTTTCTCCTCATTTGGGTTGAATTGCCACATTTTGCTTGCTTTTAGGACCTCCGAACGTGAACAAGAAAAAAAAAATTCCCAATCAAACGGGGGTGTTGTTTGCACACGGCTTTGTGTGGAATTTGTACCAAACACTTTCAAGGACTCCTGCAATGCCCAGTATAGCTAGCTGAAGCCAGTTAAGGTTAGGAAAATGGATAAACAATGTGAACGAGAAGTGTGCAAGTGCGGTACCGCGCCATACCGCGTGCTATGCTATATACTACAACCCACCAGTCTACTCTGTTTGTGGCGTTCACGGTCGCTGATCGCCCTATTGCGCAAGTATCACATTTCAAAAACACAAATAAAAACACATACACACGACTCAGTTTTTGTGATCATGTATAAATTATCACAGAAAGCATATATATTTTGATCTAAATTTTAAAACAGGTAGGCTTAATACTGAACTTTTCACTAGTTGCCCGGGCAACCGAGGAACCAAGTTTAGGTAGCCTGGAGTATTTTTCGCAACAATTTGTACGTCAGGGTATTACTATTTTGAGGCCTGATAAAACTAATGCCTGTTTATTGTGCGTACACTCACTAGCTGTGCGCAGGTGCACAAGTTGAAGGGAAAATCCCCCAAAATTTTGGAACCTGAGTAGCACAATGAAATCATGCCAGCCATGGTTCACAGCATTTAGTCTGTACCCTCTAAAGCAACAAATAATTTTTCCTCAGTGTACAGATAGCATTTGTGGCCAACACAAAAGGCTATAGAAACCAGGGATGTATACAACCTGTGCCTTTTACATGCATGTATAAGGAAGTACTGGTCCAGATGTATGTTAGCATCATTTCCAAATTTGGACTGAAAAATGGAAAGCTCTGCGTAGCAGATGCATTTCAATTGTTTACCAGTTCAGTACTTGATGCTCGAATATACTAGCAGTAAACAACTGCCTTCTTGGGATATCACCACAATTGACCTTTCTCCAAACCTAAAGCTCAAGTTTGAAGTCACATTGAATTCTTGCCATANCGTACAGTATAAATTTTACTTGATAAATTTGCTTTTAGAAGGATTATGTTTGTAAAAATGGAAATGATGGGGAATGTCAACAGTGAATTAGAATCACTGAATGCTGAGAATTTCTTAGCGTAATTGTAAGTGTAATTCTTAACCATTTTGAAAAGTTATGATTTTTCTTTACGAAGTGCTGTTTTCATAATTTACCCTTATGAGGGGAAAAGAATTAAGTGCTCACCCTTACTCAGTTTTTTTTTCCAAATGTAAACCAGAAAGGTGTTTGTCAAGGTTTGGTTCCTCTAAACCTGATACATCTTTATGCTTTAGACAAGCAACAGAGTTTGCAAAGGTAAGACAGAAGCACTTTCTATCAATGTAAATTTTTTTTAATATAACTTTTGGTTGTATGACAGAATTACATGTAGTTGGCAAGACATGTGACTTATTTCCCTTGATTTAGATCGAAATATTTTGAGGCTTATGGGAAAATAAAGGCAGAAATGGAAGAAACAGGATTAATAAGGCTGTGCTTGAAAAAGTCTCCAGAGGCCTAAAGCAGTGTATCAAGCTGTGGTGTATATGAGTGTGGGACATGTTTACTTCAATCAAATCCAAACTATCTCTTTACAATGCAAGATTTTAAATGCTCAACAAGAACATTTAACAAAGAACAAGCAGTGACTTAACACATACTTTGGTATGCTATACTGTTTATTGTGCTTTCCACATCTCAATGCTCAACGTGGCCCACTCCTGATGAAAAAAGAAAAACAAATATCTCAGCAAGCGAACAAATTTAACAAAAACTGCAAGGTTGTTTGCTACTAGAACAATCCTCAAAAGTCAAATGAATTTATGTCTGAAATGACTTAATTTCCATTAGCATGACTTCTTAGGCAAAATATGCGGCTTAAGTACCTTGAAAAAATTCTGTCCAAGTTATTTATCAATAATATTCTCAGCTTCAGTTATTGTCACATTATAAAAGTCAATTAATTCACAAAAAAATTTTTTTCAAGAGTAAAAAATTGTTAAAATGTTCTTTTTAAAAATTAATTTTGTAACTACCGGTAAAAATAAAAGTGAAGCAAGTACTGCTCATGTTAGGTTTGGCATGATCACTGATGAAAAAAATCAACCAAGACCAACAGATGTCAAAAAGTAATTACTGCAATTAAGTAATGCAATTTCTCTTTCTTTCGTATTCTTTATTTATAGTAATGTTGTGGTGCTACCCATGTTATTATGCACTAAAATTGTTGCCCTGATGGCTTAACGTCAGTATAATCATTGTTACTTTCCACCCTTAATAATGCAACTTTGATGTGTGTACCTTCTTGGGTTGGTAAACAGGGTGTCCATAAAAAGAAATACAAGACTTGTCAGTTCAAATTTTTTAACACAACAACATCCACAATGCTTCTCTTTTTATGAATTATGTTAGTTGTAGCATTATTTTCCCAAAATGTTGCCCCTGTCAGATTTCTCATGAGCAAGACAACACAAGATCAGTTAATGAAAATTTACCTCATAGTCTCTTAGCAAATCCAAATTTCCTAACAAAAAACTTGTCAGAAAGTCTATGAATACAAATATGTATACTATTTAGAAACTTTGAGAGGCACAAAAATTTGCCTTCATAAGGCACACTCTGACCAACTTTAGTAAATTTTCTTGGGGAAATAGTTTGCCAATGCCAGTTGGGCATCTTTGAAGAAATTATGTGTTTCTTGGGCAAGACAATTTACCACATTCCCTCTCCCCGTCCAGGAGTATCAATGCGTACCCCAGTCAGCAAGGAAAGATGACATATCTTACAACCCAATGAACAGAGGCAAAAGTAATTGTGGCACTTTCAATCCTTTAGCAATACTTATTAAGACTGATAACCATTGTGCTTATTATTCCTGCTAATGGGTCATTAGGGAGACATTCCCATAAGAACGTGCACAAAATTTTCCAACTTTACTGTCCCATAATTCAATATTCCCTAATCTGATCTGGACCAAACTTTGTATGTTTTCATTTTAGGTCCTAAACTATCATCTCTCAAAATATGGACGTTAAATTCGGCCTCCTTCTGGTAGTTTGAAAATAGGGAGACACTGAAATGTCTCCCTAAAAGCCAACGTCTCTCTAATGCTGAAAAATTTACCACAAAATGTCTCCCAAATGATCTATTTGTAAATATTGCTCCATGTACTGTTATGACTGGAATGCTGTGCTTATGCACAAGAGTGTACAAGAGCAGTATTTTGGAATGTTGCAAGTTCAAACTTTGATAAACATTTTAAACCAAATGTTTCGAATAAAAGTTTGACATAACGATAAAAGCAACAAAATTAATGCCTGACTAAGCAATAAGTAACAAATGTTTATCATGAGCTCACTCACTGTGCACAGGTGCTTATGTCAAAGAGAAAACGCCAGAAAAATTTTGGACCCTGAAACACAATGGAAGTCATGCCAGCCATGGTTCACAGGTATTACTGTTCAAGAACCTTTGAAGCAATAAATGCTCCCCCCCTTCAAAACACGAGGTATGGCTAACACAAAAGGCCCTTTGGTGACAATTGATGCAAAGCTATTCCTATCACAAAGTACTTGAACTGTTCCACACATGTAAGCATTTCCAAATAACTACTGAAAAATGGAAAGCTTTGAAGTATGCGAGGCAGTGGCATTGCAACCTTTTGCCAGTTTGGTAGTTCAAGCTCATTACACTACCAGCAAACTGCATTCTTAGGATTTCACTATGCTTCAAGTTTGAAGTCACCTGGAATTCTTGTCCTACTTGAGATACAGCAACAAAATTCTAAACAAGATGGCTCCTGCCTTGGGAACTCTACACCTGCAGCTTTTGATTGGTTTCTTGTGCACTGCACATTGTCAATCCCAGGTTATTGTGACAGTCACTATCAACGGACAAACAGGAGTGGTTGATGGTTTTGAAGGCGACAGTATTGAGCTCCTTTGCCAGGTGCAAAACCTGACGGGCCAGGCTGTTGTTTGGTCCAAGGGATCGACACAAATCACGCCTCAACCTGGGAAATACAGTCTGACGTCTAATGAAACTGAAGGAAGGTTTACGTTGACCATTGTGAACTTGACACGCACAAATGACCGAGGAACATTTAACTGTGAAGTAGGTGGCATTGGATCATCAATAGTAGGCAGCGTTGGGGTGCGGGTCAACTACTTCCCTGACGCTGGGAATCCAATGTGCTTTGGTCCAACGGTGATAGAAGAAGGTACTCCTGCAGTGTTCCGGTGTGAGAGCTTACCAGGTGAGCCACTCATTGAAGGTGAGTGGCTGCGTGATGATGGGAGAGTTGTAGAGGCCGACAATATCAAGACTGGCCTACCTATTAACAATATGATAAGTTTTGAATACACAATTATGCCCTCTCCACTTGACATTGGCATCAATGTGACGTGCAAAATATCCAGTGTACTCTCCTTTCCTGGGAGGACATCTTCCTGCACCATTGGACCCTTGGTTGTTAAATTTTCTCCCCGTGATGTTTCCATCACCAACACAACTTACTCACAAGATAATGTGATGTACGATGCCATAACCTGTAGTGCTATTGCATACCCACCAAACATCTCCTACAGTTGGAGTTTCAACACACCGCTGGACCCATCCCAACAGACACTGACCGATGGCAACCAGACTCTGGTCATTCTCAATATCACCTCGTGCAAGGCCACGATAATAGCGACGTGCCTTGCCACTAACAAAGTAGGGAGTGAAACAGCAAACTTTACTGTCTGTGAACCCCCACCTCCGACCACCACAGAAGTCACCACACAAGAGGAAACAACCACTGCGACTGAAGAAACGGAAGCCCATATTACAATAACTTCTGTGAATCCATTTTCAGTGGAAACTGAGCCCCAGATGACAACAGATAACATGACTATGGTGAGACCTCAGGCTTCCATCCTGACCCCTGCACTGTATGCCATCATTATCTGTGGAGCCTGCATAGTCCTTGTTTCCGTCATCGGTGTGGCTTTTCTCTTTACGCAAAAAAAGAGTAACAAGGATAATATGGATGACGATGGGACTGCGGAAGTAGCATTTCAGGTGAGGAACGTGAGGGCCTTGTCAATTGCCCTCTTTGATGGAGGTGACGAAATGCAGACCGAAATGATGATGGCTAATCGTGCCTTCCAAGCTGGGGATGAGATGAGCAAGAATGAACAAGATTGTCTTGATGCTCTGCAGGATAGTTCTGTGAACTTTCATCCTCCAGGAGATGTTACCCCTGATGTCATCTCACCGGAGAGTGCTTCTGTTGACGAGGCACCAGAGCTGTCTTCAGCAGCAGAGCAAGAGGAAACTCCATCTGAGGACAGCAGGAGCAACGCCGATCACAGTCCCCACAAAGCTGAAGCCAATGCTACCCTGGACGACGGAGATGAGTGTGATGAAATGTTTGCTCCACCCATTGAAGAGGAAGCCCAGGCCTACCAGCCCGACCCCAGGAAGAGCCTGGTCCAAGAAGCACTGCTGGCAGTCCAGATAGACAAAACAAACACTGCTGGCTCAGCCAGAGCAGGACACAAGGTTACCCAAGAAATGGAAATCTGAACTATCCTCATTCCACAGATGATGGAATGACAAGCAAAAACAGATACAGTGACTGGAATCACCAGAAGTAATTGAATTAAAGCTAATATTTCTGTTTGAGTGTTTTGATGAGAGAAATTCAAAAGAATTATGGTTGAAATAACTATGATAAAAAGTAGAGCAATATTTACAAATAAATCATTTGGGAGACATTTTGTGGTAAATTTTTCAGCATTAGGGAGACATTGGCTTTTAGGGAGACATTTCAGTGTCTCCCTATTTTCAAACTACCAGAAGGAGGCCGAATGTTATTGTCCATATTTTGAGAGATGATAGATTAGGGTCTAAAATGAGAACATACAAAGTTTTGTTCAGATCAAACAAGGGAATATTGAATTATGGGACAGTAAAGTGGAAATATTTTGTGCACGTTCTTATGGCAATGTCTCCCTAATGACCCATTAGCGGTAATCACAATTACGGTAACATGCATTTTAGTTTACGAGGATTATGCGACATCAATTTGTGCTTTGGCATTAATTAAATAAGATTTGGTAAAAAAAGGTACAGTTAGATTTTACAAGTGAAACATGATGCGGACAATTATTTGTTAGCAAAAAGATTGTTACCATGTTTCAGTGAACTATATACACAGAAAAGAATCCAACAACTCTAAAAGACAAATAGACTTTATTCACAAATCTGGCAAAATAAACTGAAAGGTTAACTTTCATTTTGGGAACCTAAAAGTAATAATAAAAGAAATGAAATTAAATGAAAGCTCATTCCAAACTAATGCCGTGCATGTATATGCTGATGAACGACTCAAAATTTGTGATTAATTATATTAATTGTTTTAAACCAGTTTTTGAAAAAATGAAAGCGAGGCTTGGAACTCAAACAGTCTAGCATTACCAAACTAAGCAGATTGCTATAAAAATGATGAATTCAGGAAACATCATTGGATATGGCTTCACCGTGAATAAGGTCTATTCATAAAAAGTGAGAAAAAAAATGTAGTTTTATAAAAGATTTGTAAATTTATCATTTTTAACTTTTAAAGCGTTGTTGTTCAGAGTTTTATAAAGACATGCTGCCCATTTCTTGTTTTGCTAAATATTTTTCTTCTTAAAACCCTTTATTTTTAGGAAATGCATAACTGCCCACTTTTTAAGGAATTGAAAGCAGCAGCATTCTTGGGGAGGTATCCAATCACCATTTTTCTTGTGGGGTCGTGGATTCTTCTGTGGATGAAAATATTTGAGTCATTTGTGGGGAAAAAATTCATTCTGCCCATCCCCCTCCGACTGAAGACCTGGATACATCACTCAAGAGTGGTCCTGAGAAGGACCTGGATGTGAACTCCATACTTGATTGATCTTGTTTTTTTAATTGATTAATGTGTCGAATGTTTAGTTATATTTTCCTATTTGGTTAAGAAAACCAATTCTAAGAGGCTCAAGAAAGCAGTTAGGGTAAACGGTCAAAATCTTTCAAACTAAAGATCTCAAATACTCCATGACTGAAAAAACAAAGCTATTTTGGATTTTCCCAACTGGTAATCAGGGGTTCTTTAACGGAACTAATCATGAGTTTAAATGTCAGTAGTGCATATCTCTCATAATTATCAGAGTTCTATACATGTATATATGCTACATGTACATTCATATCAGAGAACTTCCTTATAATTGCAAGAACCTTCAATAATTGTTTGCTTAAAGGGTTTGCCATGCATTTACAACACTGAAGTCAAATGACTTTAAGTACTCTTTTCTGTATATATGAATCTTTTGCTGCTTATCTGCAATGTATTATGCAAATTTTAAACAATGTTCAGAATTTAAGTGTACCTTAACTGACATTGTTAATAAATGGATACTCAGCTTCAAAATTGATTGTCATACATGTATCTCCAGACTCAATGTATTCACAAATTATTCTTGCAATTGAAAATGTTCTTTGCCTACACATATCCCTGTTCATTCACTGTGCATGATGCACATGAAGTAGCTGTTACACACTGGACTGTACACGAACATATACATGTACATGTACATGTACATGTACATGTACATTCCCAATGTTCACTCATACATGTGCATGTATACACCCTAATGTTTGCAAATGACTGTCAAGCAATGCCAGTCAGCACACAATGAACTCATTTGCATACCAAATCCCACCCCTTCTGCAGCTGTACCAGTACTGGCTTTTGATTGGTCCAATGTGGCACACTTTCAGTGTCACTCAATAAACAAGGCAAGTGGGTGTGGGTTTGTTGAGTGCGCAAGCAACTAGGACAGAGAAAGAGGCAGTCTTCCCTTGACTACCCTCAATATTCTGAGGAAATAAAGTTGAATTGAAAAACAAAACGGCAATGGCTTAAATGCCTGGTATGAACTGAAAGAAATCTGGAAGGAATATGATGAAAAAAACCTAACCCTGACCACAGTCATCGGTAATAATTGCACAGAATTAGCACCAATCTTAACTACATCCAAGTTACTGAAGCATCAGACCCCCAGTAGGTTTTGCAGGACCCCTTTCGACAAGCACTGGGTAAAGTTGGATTTCAATGTTCTCACACGTAAGTAACAAAAGAGTTATTCATGTGCAAAGCTACAAAAAGTTAATTCTTTTTGACAGCATTACAATGACTCACCAGGAGTACAGTCCTGCACAGACTTCTTTTTATTACCCAAAGTATGCACTTTCAAAGGCACGCATTCTTAAAGGTACAGAGACCAACTTAAAAACCATCCGAAAAACAACCCTCTAAAATGTTGTTCAAACTCAGTTTAAAGACAGCAATGAAACGTAACTTATTGGGAAGTTGCAAGTGGGTTGGCATGCAGGCCTTTTAAAGTAAAAGATAAAAGAAGGCAATTACCAAAGATGTGTCAAACTTAAGACGTTAAGAGACACAGAGATATTGGGTGTTTTCTAGAGTATCCACAGAGCTACAAGCACCCTCCCTAAGATTTTGAGCATTTTTGCAATTTCCTGAAATGGACATACATGTGTACACATGAATAATCGTCAACTTAGGGAGCTATTTGGAAAATAATAGTGTAAAGAACTTTTCATGATCAGTTCAACGAAAGAATTGCAAAACAGCAAATAAACATCTGCCTGTATTTCTTTTCATTGGGAACCATACAAGTGCCAATCTCCTTAAAATGTTCAATAAGGGAAAATTGCTGAAGGTGAGCTTTAAATAGATTTGTAAATTTTCTCATAATGAAGAATTAAGTGGCCTTGGAATCAGTATTCTAAGTGAAGCCTGGAATTGAGGTCAAGAGGGGAGTCAAGCAACATCATCACAAAGCTGACAACACTTTGGTTTATTTCATAACCTGGCATAACTAACCTTTTGGTCTGCTGTCATTCAAACTTGCAGGCATGGCCAAGCTATCATGCATAAACCAGGATACAGAGCAGGAAATAACTCGCATTTTCAAATGAGAATTTCAAAAAATTTCAGCTATCGCCAGTTCAGGAGTTGATGAGATTGGGACTTCATCATCAGGCAAGGAATAAACTGCCTTCTGATTATTTCTTTCAGACTAGCCTTCCTGCAAGCCTCAAGCTCCATTCAAAGCATTTTGCATTCTTGTGGCGCAGGAGCACACCGTGATATACAATAACATTTGAAACTTAAAAGAAAGATGGCTCCAGCCACTGGAAATCTACGTCTCCAGTTTGTTATTGGTTTCATCAGCGCCACACTTTGTAGCTCTCAAGGGGTTACAGTGACTCTCACTACCATTGATGGCGATACAGGAGTGGTTTCTGGCACTGAAGGCTCCAGTATTGAGCTCCTTTGCCAGGTGCGAAACCTGAATGACCAAGATGTTGTATGGTCCAAGGGCTCTTCACTAATCACAGCCCAGTCTGGGAAGTACAATCTGGCATCTAATGAAACCTCAGGCAGGTTTATATTAACCATACTGAACTTGACACGCACAAGTGACGGTGGTACGTATCGCTGTGCAGCAGGACGTGTAAGAGGGAGCATTTTGGTACAAGTCTACTTCTTTCCTGATGCCAGTAATCCAATGTGCAGACCTGTAGGACCGTCTGTCATAGAAGAGAGCACCCCTACTGTGCTCCGATGCGACAGCCAAACCGGGGAGCCACCTGTTGATGTTGAGTGGTCTCGCAATGGGAGAATCGTGTTCGATACTACTATCACGACAGGCTCATCAGGTGGCTTGACAAATTCTGAATACACAATCATTCTCTCCCCAAATGACGACGGGGTCAATGTGACATGTATAATATCCAGCACTGTCTTTCCTGGGAGGACATCTTCCTGCACCATTGGACCCTTGGTTGTTAAATTTTCTCCCCGTGATGTTTCCATCACCAACACAACTTACTCACAAGATAATGTGACGTACGATGCCATAACCTGTAGTGCTATTGCATTCCCACCAAACATCTCCTATAGTTGGAGTTTCAACACACCGCTGGACCAATCTCAACAGACACTAACCGACGACAACCAAACTCTAGTCATTCTCAACATCACCTCATGCGAGACCAAAATTATAGCGACCTGCCTCGCCACAAATGATGTTGGGAGTGGAATGGTAAATTTCACTCTATGCAAACCCCCATCTCCGACCACCTTGGATGTCACAACAACGAATGAAATGATTACTGAGACAACAGTGGCACCTTCCACTCTACCGAGGGGGACGACCACTGACATGAGAGAAGTGTCCTCAGAGCCAGCTTCTGAGATCTCTACAAGTGTCCTGACTACAACAGCCTTCGTGAACACAACAGAGCGTGAACCCAGTGGCCTGACCCCTGCCTTGTATGCCGTCATCATCTGTGGGGCGATCATAATCCTTACTTTGGTCACTGGTGTGGCTTGCTACATAGTAAAGCGCCGCAATAACACAGATGACCGCGAGACTGAAAAAGAGCTGGTCGAGAGGAATGTGAGGGCCTTATCCATCACCCACAAAGATGAGGACAATGAAGACCTGGCTGAGGTGGGGATGACCATTGCAACGTTTAAGCAAGAAGGTCCTGAGAGTCCAGATGAGCAGAAATATGAAACCGTTGAACCACCACAAGCTACCACAACTCCTGATGCCTACCCTGAAGACAACTAGATTGAGGCAACTCTTGTCAAACGGCTCTCAAGAGAACATCATAAATTACAGGTAATCTATGACAAAGATATGCCTTTGATATGCTCGAAGTCTACAGCTTAAGTCTAGGTGACTTGTGATGGATTTGCAGGGTCTCGTGGTGGACTCAACTACCACACTGGTCTTAACAAGGCATAAGGAGAACCTCCAACATTTGCTTCAAAAGATAAACAGTAGAAAAAGCAATTTCCTCACAGCAAATGAACGACAAATATAACTTGATTTAGGACAAAACAAGGATGAGCAGACAGTCACCATGACGATGGAGCAAATGACGCCACTAAAGACAAAGATAAAGATGAGGAGATGGTATGTAAACTACTAGCAGGCACTTTTTTACTTTTCCGCACTGTCTACAGAAAAAAATCTGCTAGACACAAGATGACTGAGTTCCCAGCTGAAGCTTATTACAAAACATCCTCAGTAATTGGCTGCTATTATGAGGTTCAACAGCCAAAAAGCATCTTTTTGAACATAATTAAAATATACCCCAAAAGAGACTTTTTTTACAGCTTATTCCTACCAAACTGTAAGGATAAATGTGAGATTCATTACTATTCAGTTTGAAAACAATGCTTTAGAAACATTATATTTGCAGTCTGAGGCCTTTTAGATCAATCTGTAATTTCAGAAAAGTTACAATTTTTGTCATAAATCTACGTCTGTATTGTTACTAACATCTTATTTACCCAGATATCCAGTAAGCAGTTTTACATATTCGTAGAATTAGACGCTGCTTAAATTCTATTTGATGCAGCAGTATAGCCAGGATTCTGAGCATGAGGGGGAGGGCGGGACTTCAAGCTAAAGTGGGAGGGGGCTGACTGGATGTTGGACTTATACATGTGCACAGTCATGATTACATTAGGATATGCATGTGTACTGTTTCCAAAATGCAAGTAGGGGGCAACTGGGGGTGTGTACCCCCACTGCCCCCCCACCCCTTAGCCACGCCGCTGATTTGATGTAATGCTACATGTACATGTACACAAGTGGCCACAAATGGCTAGAGTTAAGACAGTCACAGTTGCTGAAGACATCAAACAAAAATACCCTTGAAATTCAAGCCACTACTGCAGTAGTTCCACACTGTTAGGACTTTTGAGAATAAATGCACATTGCAAGTTTAACAACGCCTCTGTTGAACAGTGCCACAGTCAAAATGACATCTCAGGTTACTTTATAAAGCTATCTAGTTTCTTATCGGTGGTTTTTATAAAGCTTAATAGTTGGCCAGGCTTATTAAAAAAAAAGATATCAGTCTGTGGTTCATTTTGTAAGAGATGTATCAATAAAAACATACTGGATTTATTTTCAGGAAAAGCTTTCGAAAGAGGAACAGTCACTAAAATATGGTTTTCAAAGAATTATGCTATTTTTACGCTCAGAAATCTGAATTGTATAAGTAGGTGTAAAATGCCATGCATACAGAACAAATGTACCTGTAGTATAATAATCGTTTAGCTGAAGTACCAATGAAAAATTCTGAAGTGTAGACAATTAACTTTCATTTTCAATTAAATGTAGCTCAATCTTTGACAAAAAAAATATAAGGAAGTAGTGAAACACTTGTACTGCTATGTACACTGATATAAGAAGACACAGAAAGTTTGAACTCCCTGGGTATCGGCATATTCAAGAAATCCAAAAACCAGTTGATCGTTGCCAGTTTTTGTGCATGTTCAGAACAGAACACATCCCAAGTCAATACAACAAATCCAAGTATCGATTTTTGGTGGACGATTCTAGGTACATGCATTTCAATTTATTTTAGAGCTGAATTTTTAAATTCAATAGTAATCCACATAATACACCAGGGACTTAAACCAATACACATGTATGGGTGTGTTTTATATGTATTATCCAGAGACAAGTGTTCAACAGGTGTTGTTGCTTTACTAATTTGCATCACATATTCAAGATCCATTCTTTTACCAAGACTATTTTTGTGTTTGGAAAATGTGTTAACTGAAACGTTAGTAGAGCCATTGTACAGTATAAATTTTACTTGATAAATTTGCTTTTAGAAGGATTATGTTTGTAAAAAATGGAAATGATGGGGAATTTCAACAGTGTCAACAGTGAATTAGAACTGAGAATTTCTCAGTGTAATTGTAATAATTACCACTAATGGGTCATTAGGGAGACATTTCCATAAGAACGTGCACAAAATTTTTCCAACTTTACTGTCCCATAATTCAATATTCCCTAATCTGATCTGAACCAAACTTTGTATGTTTTCATTTTAGACTCTAATCTATCAACTCTCAAAATGTGCACAGTAAAATTTGGCCTCCTTCTGGTAGTTTGAAAATAGGGAGACACTGAAATT